CAGCGCAAAGCATTTACGGCTATGCCAGAGATTTCGACCCCAACACCGCTATCCCCGGGAGGAATTACAGCCTGGTCAGGAAGCTCGGCAAAAGCTTAAAAGGGAGAAGTTAGTCGGCCCCTAGACCATAGATGATTAACCCCTTGCTATGACCAGCAGACCTAATACGTCGTTTGTGTCCCTAACGACTAACCATTCATGGCCACTCTTTTCCATGTGGGATGCGCGTTGAGAAAGAAAAACGCTATGTATATTTACACGCAAACTCAATAGGGATCAATGTCTACACCTTATTTTATTATYCTGTGAGAAACTTTGACAGAAGGCTTTTTTTACTTCCATAAAGAAACTTTTGGTAGAAATTTAGAGTAAWTTAACAGACAGCCAGCAATAAAATTAAAAGCTAAAATAATGGAATAATGAAAATCGAATAGCAAAATTTATCTCCGACTGGGCTTCCTGTGTTATCACGTGTTTTCAAAATGGCGGCGTGTTATGTGCAAAAGAATATCACTGCTATAAAAAAGCTTCCTCGAGTGGCTTTAAACAACATTAGAGATATCCCAGAGGCGTTTATAACGGTAAGAATGATACTTCCTTATGGATAAAGCATAGCTTTGAAACTCTCGTCTGTATTAAGTAACTGTTTTTTGCTGTGGAATGACTTCTCTTGCACRATGTGTGGTGGGCTCTCTGCCATAGTAAGTTAAAATTATTGTTATTCTCATTCAACTACTATTTTTATCCAATTGAATAMGATAAGACAATGTCAACACAACCTTCTGGAGGTGATATTGTCTGTTAGAATGAGATTCAGTACAAAAAGCACGCTAAAAGATGCCTTCATGATCGATTGTCCCTCCATATCAATCCCCAAATAATGCTCAGAACAGCACCTTCCGTTGAAAGGGGGCGCGAAAATTTGAAAATTTAGTAAACTTGTAAATKTTACATGTAAAGTCATATATAAGATTAACAGTGCAGTATGTGTCRGAGGAGGAAGGGGGGAGGGGATGTATTGTTGTCCCAGAGCTCAGCCTTAATTAGACTGCATCATTCAAACTGCATTACCAAGAGCTAATTAGGAGTCGATCAACACGATATTCTAACATCATGCAAAAAGTTTACCAAATTTTATGATAATTTAAATTACATGAATCCAAACTATGTTTATAAAAGTTATACTTTTTGCCTTATACAGCATCGCCGTAAAGGAAGAGGACCTGGCTCAGGGCGTGGTAAAACATGTGGGCGTGGTCACAAAGGTCAAGGTCAAAGAAGTGCAAAACCAAGGTTGGGATTTGAAGGAGGGCAAACGCCATTCTATATCAGAATACCGAAACATGGCTTTAAAAACAAGTAAGTTATTCTCTTTATTGTCAAGAGTGCGAATCARGGTAATCACTGGTGGTGTAGCAGTATTGTGCTTGCCTCTCARCTCCGGGGACTCTGGTTTGATTCCTGGACTCGAAATGTTCTGGGTCTCTCTCTTGATTAAAGGTTTTTTCTCCAGGTTCTCCCAGTTTCTTTCCTCCACAAAACATTACAACATTTTCTCTTTTGACRGAAATGATTTTGTTTGATAAGAGAAAATAGAAGCAGCTAGTAAATTTTCAAAAAGCTTTAAAAATGTCATGTTCTTTCTTTCATGCATATTAATTGTGTATTTAAATCCAGATTTCAGAAAGTTTATGAGCCTCTGAACCTAAATAGACTACAGTATTTAATAGACAGTAAGAGAATTAACCCTGCCGAACCAATCACAATGTACCATTTATGGAGAGCTGGAGCTGTAGGGAAGATACAGGATGGAGTTAAATTACTGGGAACAGTGAGTAAAATATCTAATATTATGTCCCTYTTTAACAGTTATTCACCAAAGACAAAGTGATTAATGGTGAATATTTACTGAGCTGTGAATGAAAATGTTTTAAAGGTTCAAGGTTCAAATTTATGGGAGAGGGTAGGGGAGGGGAGGGAGGAACAAAGGGTAAAAACATGTCTGTCTTGTCTTGTCAGGCTATGATTGACAGCYGTTCAGATATTGCTTTTTTCCTAGTGTTTTTTATCATTGTTCATTGTAAAACTACTTCTATGGGGTGATAACAAATTGGGAAAAATTGTCATTCTATGATTGACAGAACACTCCCATGATAACAAAATTAATACTCTTTCCTAGGGCTCTTCGTGGTTCAAAACCAAGGTTGACCTTGAAGTCAGTAAAGCATCGCAATCAGCCATAGAAGCAATAGAACAACAGGGAGGTAAAGTTACCTGTGCTCATTATAACAAACTTGGATTAAGAGTGTTACTAAAACCCGAAAAGTTTGAAGGAAAGTATGTACCACGAAGAGCCCAACCTTCGTCCAAGTTGATGCCATTCTACACGAGTGTAGAGAATCGTGGATATCTGGCAGATCCAGAGAAACTCGAAGAAGCAAGACTAAAAAATKTTAAGAAATTTAACCCAGATGAAGAAGTTGATTAAATACGACTTAAACTATGGTAAAGCATCAAGCATCGGCGATAGAGGTTTTCGGTCAGTTTTTYCCCCCAAGTTTTCATCTGTAATTCCTAATTAATTTTTTACTCTCACTTTCATTTTGATACCTAATTCCATCAATAGAAATGGTCTTCTGATTGTATTTTTACTTTCTATCAATCCCAAATTTTCATACAAAACTTTGATCCTAAATCCCAAATTTTTTCTCTCATTTTGATGCCCTACAGTTTTACCATCAATCCCATCAAAATCGTATTCTCCCACCCATATACCTAGTGACACCCTTGTAAAATGGCCCAAATTGAAGGTTTTGGAGAAAGAATCCCAAAATTTGAAATTCATCCAGGAAACAGATTTTATACMTGGACACTGGAAAGTGAAAAAAAGTAAGAATGAAATAACTGTTTGCGATGGTTGACCGGGGTTTCATTCAGTTTTTTAAATGATATGAGAAGGTCATGAACTAGCCGTAGAGTCTAAGTGAACCTCTTACAAATTTTCTATTTAGGCCAGAGAATTTTGCTCATTTACTGGAGCATTCTACGATCCTTGACCCTTGAAACCCCTGGGTAAGACAAGYACTAGGATAGGGTCACTCGACACAAATATGAAAATGGGTAAGAGAATGGTCCCCTTCACAGTTCCCTGCACCATCTTGAAAAGTAGCCGTGCCTTTGCATAGAAGCAAGACGAATAGTGACCTTGCAATGATAGAGACCTTTTTTAACACCTCGTACAATTATTCACATGTCTCTATCATTGCAAGCTCACCGTTCGTCTTGCTTCGATGAAAGGCACCTCTACCTTTCAAGATGGCACATGGAACTGTGAAGGGGACTGTTGGGAAATCTGTTTTCCCTGTGTTCAACATGGAAGGGTCAGTTATGTGGTTATAATCCCTAAACAAGACCCTYGTAGGGCTTCTAAAATTCCGACCTTTATAACAGACGGAGATACAAACATCTGCAGTACAGATACGGAATGCAGTAGATTGTCACCAGAGAACCCTTTTCTAGAAATAAAAACAAGGTAGTAAATGCCTTCTCGAGTTTCCTTGCGTAGAATTCGAAGCTTGAAGGTGTTACGAATTAAGAATGTCTTCGAGGAGTTGCGAACACTAAAAAAACTGGTGAAATTCTCTTTAAAATATCCATTTCGGTTTTCTTTTCTTAAGTTAATTAACTGAATCCCTAATTAATTTCCCATTTTCTAGAATAAATGTCATTCAGTTAAAGTTTTCCAAAAACACGACAGACCATCCCTTTTAACGGTCTACACTGAAGAAATAGAGAGTGCGARCGCGTAAATGTTTTCGAAACATTTTGTTGCATGGTTTTTGCCTAGTGCGTTGGGTGGCATGAGTTGTCTCTCACTGCTGGTAGTCCGTGGCTGGGGTCGCTGGTTCGCGATTCTCGACTGAACCACATGTTAGTTGATCATAAGTTTGTTTGATGTGTGGTTCTCTACCTTGCCACGAGGATTTTTCTTCGGGTTCTCCAATTTTTCTTACTCCTTAAGACTGAACTGTGAGTTGAGAGTTGTACGGATAGGACATTGAGTMTTGTAGTAGTGCGTGTGAGTCAGTAAAAGTGGACCAACGTTTGGAAAGCAGTATTCATACCGAATTCGTTCACCTACCAGCGTGCCGTCAAATGAAATTTAAAGCTGACAGAGTTATATAGTGCCTCATGCGTTTRGTGACTGCGTTGCTCTCCAGAAATAAGGCAGTTCTATCGAAAGCTCATCCTACTCGCCAGAACCTATAACCTATAAATAGAAACTAAATAAAATGAGTACAAGTCAAAAAAAAAAAAAAGAGCTTTAGGGAGATTCTAGTAACCGCAATTGCGAGAAATCTGCTTATCACTGAGGGAGAAACTTTTCAATTGATTGACAAGCCATGTTATGGACAATGCTTCTTGTGAAACTTGTATTCTTTAAGCGCACAACTTTGGCACAGATGCGCAAGGTTTGCGTGACATTTTCATATTAGCTACAGGTGTGTTGACGTAATAAGTCTATCGCTAATAGAAAACTGCCACAACTATTCACTAAACCTGAGTTATCCAACCCCCTTGGGCTATTTTTTTTGTTTTCAGGTGTGTAAACGAATGCATGTCAAAAGTATCTTCTCACGTCRATAGAGGGGGGAATTCAAGGAAAAGAGTTGCTTTAGATCCAAAGAGCTCCAAAGGAATTCATATCGCAGCATTGACTTAAAAAATAATAACAATATTTTTGGTGTCTAATGTTGCTTAAGATAACTCGCGTAGCATGCAGCAACACGGTTGTCTCCAAACAAAGCCAAGCGCTGAGAGATGAGATCAAAACGATTGGCTTTCAACGCCATGGTTGACCTGTAACAAGAGCCCCTTTTAAACTACCTCAAATGTTGTTTTAAAAGTTCGCTACTCCATCATTCGACCGATCCGCAAGTGCTAACTTATACAGCTGAAAAATCGATTACCCTAATGACGAAGCTAATAGCTTGTAACCGTGGATTCGAATTAGAAATCAATTATATATCTCGGTTCTTTAGTCAGCACAGACCTCACACAATTCCATTTTGAATCCCAACACGATGCGGAAGACTGATCGCCAGTCGGTTAAAATCGATAAGGCGCGAGTTGATGTCTTTGGAGCATTTGGAAAAGTCGTTCTGAGGAAAGGTGTTTGTGCGCTTAAATGCGTCGGCCGTGCAACTGGGATAACAGAATTGAAATGTTCTTAAAAGATGTTATACTCTTTAAGTAAGCGATAGGCGGTCCGACAAGAGTATTTTAGCAGAAGTCGTGTCTACTTGACGCCTGAAATAGATTGAACAGAACATGCTTTTGGTGAATATTTCCTCTGTCAACGTGACGACACGTTTTACTTGACAGGAGACAGAAATAGAACAAATTGTACATTTTTTGGTCCCAAATTAAGCTTATTTCTTAGAACTATTTACATTTGGCTTAATCTTTCTTGACTCGTATRGTGAACAGAAAGCAAGATCATTGCTAGTTATAGCTTTCCTGACCACAGGGAGTTTAACAGATTGTGAACCTAATCTGCCAAAACCAGCCACTACGGATATGATTCAAGCCTTGCCTAAAATCCTTGATAACTTTTCCAAATGGTAAATGACTTGGCGATGTGTAATCACCGATTGAAAGAGCTGAGCAACCATTTGCTCACTAGGCTCTTAGAACAGAGCGCCAAATCTACAGTCGACTCCATAAACAGAGTCCTATGAAAT